TTTAGTAGAGATGGGGTCTTGCTCAGGCTGGTTTCGAACTCCTGACCTCGAGCGATCTGCCTGCCTCAGCCTCCCAGAGTGCTAGGATTACAGGCGTGAGCCACGGAGCCCAGCTATATGTGGATTTTTACTTATTTATATTTATTTTTTCTGCCCAATATGTGGATTTTTAAAAATAAATATATTGGAAAAAATTTTGGAGGTTTTCGACAACTTGAAAAAAATCACAGATGAACTGTGTAGCCTAGAAAGATTGAAAAAATTAAGAAAACATTAAGTATGTTCTGAATGCATAAAATATATGTAGATACTGCTCTATTTAATCATGTACCACCATAAAATATAAACAAATCTATTTTAAAAGTTATAATTTATCAAAACTTACACAAACATAGTTTTTTGTTTGTTTGTTTGTTTTTTTGTTTTTTTTTTTGTTGAGACAGACGCTTACGTGTTGGCCGGCGGCTACAGTGCCGTCGTCAGCTAGCCCAGCAACTCAACTCCTGGGCTCAAGCGACCTCCTGCCTCAGCCCTCCCGAGTTAGCGGACTAGTAGGCCATGTGCCACCCGTGGCCTGCTAATTTTTCTATAGAGTTTTGATGAGGCCAATTAATGTCTTTCTTCGTTAGTACACCAGCGCCTCGGTCTCTTTGCTCAGCGCGCCGGTTCGAACTCTGACCTTCGACGCGGACCTCCCTCGGCCTCCAGAGTCACACGCGCACAGGCGCCGCAGGGCCATCCAGCCACCCGCTCTTACACAAACATTATAGACCATATGTGGCCTATCAATGGCATGAGGACGAAAAATGTAACAAACTGTAAACGATGGCATATTAATCCAACGTCGAAAAGCAACTATAAGCACAGACGTACTTACCGTCAGCTTGCTAATAGGCGCAGCCTCCTATTGTGAGTTCCGCTCAAGGCGTACAACGTACGCTGCTAACACCACACTGTGATGCTTTACTCCACATGAGCATTCATTTCTCCAGTAATGGTGTACGGCAGAAGAAAGTGACTCTTGGTGTTCTCAAATTTTTCCATCAGTTACGCGCAATGCCAT